GAGGAAGAGAGGAGGAGGAGGAGGAGGAGGAGGAGGAGGAGGAGGAGAAGGAGAAGGAGAAGGAGAAGGAGAAGGAGAAGGAGAAGGAGAAGGAGAAGAGGAGGAGAAAGGGAAGGAGGAAGAGAGGAGGAGGAGGAGGGGAGGAGGGGCAGTAGAAAGGAGGAGGAGGTAGAACCAGCTTTTCTTAGGGAAAGAAAAAATTCCACTGATGGGTCTAGAAGTCTGAGTCTAGGCCATTTTGCTTTACCTGAACACAAGGAAATACTCAAAAATTTATAGGAACTGGACAAAAAAGTAAACAGGAACTACTTTGAAATCTTCTACAGAGCATATCAGGAACAATTTGGGAATTAAAATAAATAACTTTAGTAACAGATCACAACTCACTGAATAAATAAGTTCACATTGACACAGACACTGATTTCATACAGAAAAATGCATGAATAAACAAACAGAAAAGAAAGCTTTTCTTTGTAGTGGAATACTACCAATCAGTGAACATAAAAGTAATGGTTGAATGGCATTCGGGAGTCATAAATGTACTAGTCGAGTAAGACAGAAACATTAATGACCTAAAACGAACAGGTGAAAATTTGATTTTTAAGTGAGGTTTTTATAACGTTGTGAAACATCCCTCTCCAAAGTACTTGCTAATAATATGACAATATGCTTTAATAATATGATAATAATAACTTTTGTTAATATGTTAATAAATAACATTTATTAAAAGTAATAATAGTTACTAGTAAAATAAATAATAGTAATTTATACTACAGAAACTTGACAGAAACCTGCTTATGTGATAAAAATGACTACTACCAATAAAAGGACCATCAGGCAACATGTACCTCCAGATAAGCACACAGCATCTATCCCATGATATCTCTACCCCAAAATACAAAGTTTCAATCTAATTGTGAAGAAACATATAAAACCAAACTGAATGACGCTGGTAGCTCCATGATGGTGCTCCTTCATCTCTGACACTCAGTACTCCCGTCCACGCATAGTGTCTCTCTGGCACTGAGAAGAGCTGATATTTGTTATCAGTAGATTACTTTCCAAATACTATGGGTGCTGGGGATCGTGGAAGACATTCTGGCTTATGTCTTTTTTGATCTAAAAAAGGCTGTCATGAGGGGGGAAATTTTCAGTCCCTGCTACCCGGCAACCCAATGACCACATGCACATGGTGAAGAAATGAGGAATCCAGCCAATAGCGACTGAGTGTGCATCTTCTGTGTGACTTCTCCTCTCCCAGTCAACTGGATGACTGTAGTTCAAGCTATCACTTGGACCATGATATCAGGGGAGATGAAAAATTGCCAGTCTAGCTAAATTGCCTCAAAATTGTGATAATACAAACTGGAAGGTACCAGTTAGCCTCACTAAAGCCACTACTAATCTTAGGGTAATCTGTTACTGTACTATATAGTAGACATGATTTAAGTGCCATTTTGTTACTGTACTATATAGTAGACAAATTATTTAAGTGCCATTTTAGCAAATACCATTACTATGTGTGGTTCAAAAATATCAAAAACTAACAATGAAAGAAACAACAAAATTCCAGATCCAGAAGTTGAGAGGGCTCTGTCAATAAAGTTACTTGTCAAGCAAGCACAAGGGCTTGAATTCAGATTTCTAGAATCCAGGTAAAAAGTTGCACCCAATTTACCTGTAATCCTAGTGCAAGAGAGACTGAGACGGACAGATGGAGCTCACTGACACGCCAGCTCAGATAACCTGCAAGTTTAAGGGTCAGAGAGAGGCCTTGCCTAAAATAAGAAGGTGGAAAGCTGCTGAGAAAGACATGGGCATTAGTCTCTAGTCTGCACACACATCTTCAGGCTCACATACAAACCACGTATAACACACACACACACACACACACACACACACACCTCCTACTCCCAAAGATCTTTCTTAAATTAACGAGAGAAACCTGAAAATCAAATATATGACCCTGAAGTGTGGATGGTTTTGCTATTCTTATCATCCCATAACAAAGATTATTGAGATATTCATCAAAACTTGAAGACAGTAGAAAATTATGAAAAAGTACTGTACCAATATTAGTATCTTTCAACTGATCATTTTACTATAGTTATAGAGCACTGTCCTTATTTTTAAGAAATACACGTTAAAATACTTAAAGGAGAGATAAGTGCCTGTATTTTACTAAAAAATATCAGAAATAACAATTACATTACACAATTGCATAGTCAAAATATATACTTTTATATATCTTTATAACTACAGACAGATAACATTGCTAACACATTAACATTTAGAAAACCCCTTCACGGATATGCAGAAATTTAAAATTTCACCATTTACACTAGAGTAAAAAGATTGCAAATGCCAGGCAGTGTTATTCCCGCATTTTCACTTCAAGTAAACTAAGTTGATTTCTCAAACTGAGAGTTGATTACATTAATGGGGTTTGAAAATGAATTAACTGGAACAAAATAGAATGCTGTAAATTAGCATAGCATATGAACGTTGTAGATCAGTAGGAATGAGTATCGTTTTGTGAAATCCTTGTTTCAGACGTAAGGGGGACGAAGAAGTTAATGTACTTTGTTGCTCAATCAATAAAAAATAGGAAAGCCAGGCGCTGAGCATAACCCAGCCTGAACCAAAAGCAGACTTCCCGGGGACCGCCCCTCCCTGCCTCTTCCGCCCCTAGTCACCTGCAGATGTGCTCCACAAATCTTCAGTACCCGCGCAGCGCCGAGCCGATGCTATTTAAGGGTCCGCTCCCCGCAGTTTACAGCCAGCCACAGGCAGCCAGCCGCATCCTCTTCCTTTCCTTGATACAGGCTCAAAGCTCCACAGAACGATGCACGGCATGGGAGTCTTGGGTTCGCTCTGGGTTTTCTTCACTCTCATCACTCCAGGAGTTCTTGGTGAGCTGGGCGCGGGAGCTCAAATATGGTAATTACACCAGGGCTAGGAAAACTTCTGTGCCTACACAAAGGCTAGAGGCCAAACCAGGGATGTGGGGACCATGCCTGCTCCTGGCAGCTTTGGAGACACCTCTGTCTATTGATGCAGAACGTCTCCACCTTTTCTGGGAGATGGACTACCACCACAGAAGGCTGAGACACTTATGGTCGCTTTGGAATGTGACTGCTGCATTGGTTGGGGGGTTCGCTCTCTCCTTCCTGGATCCCAGCCTCCTGGGAATTCAGCAAGTGCTCACACAGTACCACCGAAGGTCCCAGGCTGTGCTCAAGGATTACAGACCTGCGTATGCCTCCAGGCATGCAGCCCCTGCTTCGTTTTTTAAAAAGAATAACACCCGATTCTTCAATATGGGTCTCAGATTTTTTTTTATCTTTAATAGTATATTTAAAAACAATCTCCAGTTAATTTTTAAAGTTGAACATGAATTAAAACTATGACTTCTCTAGTGGTGTGTGCTTCTGTAGGTTCTCCTCAGTGTTCTCTATAAACGTGTGTGTGTGTAGGGGGGTGTTGTGTGTGTGGTTGTTGTTTCACAGATTGACTTGCTTTTAAAGTAGTACCATTTGTTCTGATAGTGAAGGGTGATGGGATAAGGTCTAAGACATTCACTGCAAAAACCTCAATAGCTGAGTGAGTGTTGGCAAGTCGAAGTGTAACTTGTTACCATAGTGAATAAATACACAGGTTACCTACAGCAAACCTCAATGGCAAGTTGAGTATTGGCAAGTTGGTTAGAGCCCCGACCCTCAGGTTCACATATATAAAATGAAGTCAGGAATGAGCTTCTGATCAGGGCTCCAAGTTTGATATTCAGCAATATATATATATATATATATATATATATATAACCACAAAACCTATCCCCAGAACAGTTAACAGTTTCCTAAGCCTGCCTGTCAGCTCATAATTTCCAGTAACAGATTTCGTAGCTACAGCCAAGGCAGGTGTCTCTTATCAGGCCAATAAGGCGTGTCATACAAAGTCTGTAAATCCTTCCTGTCATGGCATGTATTCAAGGTCTGCTTGTCAAGCACAGGCTTGGGGGGGGGGAGTGTCGCACTGTGCTACCAACCCATGGAGGTGAAAGAAATCAGGAGCTGCCAGAAAAATTAAGTCAATTGGCACTTGACACTAAGTGTAGCCGTTAGCAGCTAAGGACACACCTGGTTGTTACAGGGTCTGATTAATATGCATTAGTTCTGCCACAGTTTCTATTGGGAAATAAATTCTAGGGATGGTTGGACCTTATTTCATGTTCACTGATGAGTGTTTTATGCTTTGGTTAACATACATGATATAACATCCATCAGATAGCCGGGAGACCCAGTATTAAGTGCATTTTTAATTCTCAGTAATGATCTCCCTACTTCCTGCTTTCTGACCAACTTTTCAGAGTTATTTTTATCCTACACATAGATAGATTCTCCATCTACTTATAAATGATTTCTAAGTCATCCATGTAAAACCTCTTACATCTAAATAGTTAACTGTTCCCTGTCCTCCAGAATAATTTTCAGCATTAGTCACTACTCCAATCTTCACTCCAGATGCTAGAAAGATGTAAAGAGAGAAAAGAGACTCTCATGAAAATTCCTGTCATGTAATAGCTGATAGACCAGTCTTTCTTTTTCTTTGAAAAATCATTTAATGTGTTTACTTGTTATCGTGTGTGTGTGTGTGTGTGTGTGTGTGTGTGTGTTCAATGGCATGTGCTTGCAGGTCAGAAGACAACTCATAGGGGTTAGTTCTCTCCTTCCACTACGTAGGGTCCAGGGATTAAACTCAATTGGTCATCAGGCTGGACAGCTGTGCCTTTAGCTGTGACACATTTCACCTGCTCCCTTTCATTTTCTGATTGGAGGAGAAACCAATCTCTGGAAATTCTGTACTGTGGCCTGGGAGGTGGGCAGTTTCAATACAGTGTGAGATCTCCTTACTAGAGATGAGACGTCCGTTAACCTTCCTGAGGAAAGTGCTATTCTTGCTTCATTCTGGCATGGAAAGTCACATTATAAAGTTCCCTCCTCTTCTGTGGTTTCCAGATCTTGTAGCTCTCTTGATCTGTATCGTTGAGTCTTATGAATTTAAATGTTTTCCCATATTGTGGAAGGTAATTTAATTTTGTCCTTATTTACATTTGATAATCACAGATTATTATCTGATTAGAGTAACTGGTAGAAGCCTCATCATGTTGTGAAATCTATCTTCACTGCTTTTAAACTGTCATTTTCCTTAGAGTCTTTTTTGCTGTTTTTCAAGGAGTATGTAGTTGGGGACATTGGTGGGAATTAATGGAAGAAACTAAAGAATTACAAAAGAGGAACCTACAGTAATATCTGGCTCCTAACAGTGGTGACACTTTTTCAATTCCCCAGTAGAGGGATGAAGTTAGAGAAAGGCTGATCTGGGGGCTGGTGAGATGGCTCAGTGGTTAAGAGCATTGACTGCTCTTCTAGAGGTCATGAGTTCAAATTCCAGCAACCACATGGTGGCTCACAACCACCTACAATGAGATCTGATGCCCTCATATGGGTGTCTGAAGACAGCTACAGTGTACTTACATATAATAAATAAATAAATCTTAAAAAAAAAAAAAAGGCTGATCTGGTTGTGGCCTTGGGAACTTGGTGAATGTCTTTGAGTCAGTAGGCAATTACTGTTTAGCTTTCTCCTGTACCTGCCTCACACTATTATGGAAAAAAATAAAATCTGTAAATTTTCAGGTACATTTCTGCTCTTGTAGGGTTTCACAAATTAGTATTTCTTTGTCTAGATTCCTCTGATCTGAATAAGGGGGAACTTCTGGATCTCTGCAAATAAATTTAAGGAGGTAAAATGTGAGTCTTCACTCCTATATAGAATATTATATTTCTAGAGGCATCCTCAAGTGTATGGATGTTGCAGTGGCCTTTATTTCATTGCTAATGGCAAGTTCTTTTCTCGGATACATCAGGAAGCTTTTACTAGCTATTTGGGGGTTTCATTACTCTAGTTTGTGAAAATAAGAAAACAAATATAATGAGAAGTAAAGAACTAGAGGGGTTGAGACAGAAGGACTCCAAGTTCAAGGTCAACCTAGGTTATATTGTGAGACTTTATCTTATAAATCTATAATTAATAAATAAGAAAGTTCAACGAAGAATGAATATATTTTTCTCTATATGCTAAAGTATAGTGATTAGGATTGTTATATAAATCAACTAAAGCAATTTTGATTTTACAAGATCTTTGTGGTACTTTAGTGTCTTATGATAAATGTTTTTATTTATAAGGTTTTTATTTGTAGGGCTGGAAAGATGGCTCAATAGTTAGAGCACTGTTGCTCTTGTGAAGGACCAGGGTTTGGTTCTCAGCACGCACTTTGTGCCTCATAAGCACCTGTGGCTCCAGTTCCAGGGGTTCTATCACCCTACTCAGGACTTTGCTGGCACTGAATACATAAAGTGGGCACATGCATACATGTAGGCAAAGCGTTCTTAGACGTGAAATAAAGAATAAAATCTTCAAAAAAATAAAACCTTTTAAAGATACTTTTTACTTGTATACTTCTTGTTTTTACTTTAAAGCCAGAGAGGGTATTTTTTGTTTCTATTGTGTCCATTATCGTTTGAATGTAAAATGTCTCCCACATACTCGTGTGTTTGAATATTTAGTCTACGACTGATTTGTAGAACCTGGAGGTTACATTGCTTTCCCACTTCCAGCCAAGCCCTTTTGTTTTCCGGTTAATGTCATGTAACCAGCAGTTGATGCGGATCCCTTCCCCCACAGACCAAGCTGGTCCAGTCATAAACCTTCCCTACTGTGATGGGTGGTGTACCCTGGAGCATGAGGCAACTAATCTCTCCTCCCTTAAGTTATTTCTGTCAAGTATATATGTGACAATGATCATAAAAATAACTGGCACAAATAATAGATACAACTTTCTTTCCACCCCAATATATAGACTCATCATCATTATTATATATCATAATTATTATACAAGGTTATATAAGTCCATTCTCATGCAACTACACAGTGCACTGCGGGCATATATGACCTACTACCCGCCCCCTCCATAATCTTCTCCCCACCTATTAATCCCCTTTGTTCTCCAGACAGTTTACTGCTAGCTTTCAAATATATATGAGAGAGAGAGAGAGATTGACAATGCACTTGATGTGATCATCACCATTTTCATCCATCTTCTCAACAAACAATATAACTTCATTCTTCTTAATAGCTGAAAAAAATCCATTGTGTACATATACCACATTCTCTTAATCTAGCCTGTTGCTGGCCATGTAGGTTGGTTCCATAACTTAGTCATTGTGAGTAATACTACAATAAGTATTGATGTGCAAATATATCTGTGATATATTGACTTGGAGTCTTCTGGGTAAATATTGACAAATGCTATAGCTGATCATGTGGTAAATCTATAGTTTGTTGAGGATTCTCCAGACTGATGGTGGCCAGACTGGTTTACATTCTCATTAGCAATGTAAATTGTTCCCTTTCGTCTGTATCCTTACCAGCATTTGTTGTTATTTGTTTTCTTAACAAAACTGAGTGTGAGATGGAATCTTCACATAGTTTTAATTTTCATTTCCCTGATGATTGGTGAGGCTGAATTTTTTTTAATATTTATTGAACATTTGTATTCCATTTGAGAACAGAATGTTCATTCTACTAGCTCATTTACTGATGAAGGGCTTTGGGTGTTCATTTCTTTATAAAGTCTAGCTATTAATCAGATATATAGTTAGCAAAGATTTTTCTCCCATTCTGTAGATTATCTTTCACATTCTTTTCTTTTGCTGTGCTCTGTAATTTCATGAAGTCTCATTCATCAATTGTTGTGCTATTTGCTGAGCACCTGGAGAAAGCAACTGTTTAGAAAGTGCTTTCCTATGCTGCTGTCTCACGGGGTTCTTCCTTCATTTTCCTCTATTACTTTCAGAGTTTTGTGTCTTCTATTAAGTTCTATATACTTATTCCTGAAGTTCTACATGTGCTTTTTATTTTTTCTGACCACACTGCGGAAAAACAAAAACCAAGCCATCCACCTACAGTTTTTAGTTACAGAATTATAAAAGGATGAAATTTTATGAAAAAAAACGTTTCTCCATGTGTTCATCCAGACTACAATGATTTTTCTTCAGATAATATCTCTCCAGACAATATTACTTTTAATGATCAAATTTGTTGGATTGATTGGTGACAGGAGAGAAACAGGGAAGCATTAGCTGTTCTCAGCGTTGATATTTCTGTGGTCCTTGTTTCTAGGTCAGTGTAAGTCGCTGCCAAAGTATCCTTTTGCTATGCCTTCTATTGTGAGTGATAAGTCTGAGTTTGCTGTTGGAACACATTGGGAATACAAATGCCTCCCTGGGTATATTAGGAAGTCATTTAAAATCACCTGCTTAGGTGATGAAACCTCCGAGTGGTCAGACGCTCAGCAGTTCTGTAAACGTGAGTACCTCTCCAAGCTGTATTTGGCTTTATCACTTTTTCTGGGTAGGATAGTTTGTCATTTTCCAGACAAAAGAGCAGTCAATTAGTATGTCATGGCATACATGCTTCTCTGTTTTCTTTAACTTATAACTTTTCCGAGTACTAGTGTGTAAGTCACTACCATGGTTTAACCTATTGTCCTTACGACATCATTCTCTGGTTTCTATATTGTGTTAGAGTGAGATTAGACGTTAGTACACAAAAGAACATTAATTTTATCTCATTCTTACCACATTCAATTCAAGAAATAGTTTTTATTATCTAGAATGTGTGAAGAAGTAGAAAGTGCAACTTGTAAAGAACAACAAAAATCACACAAATATAGTGCAGAGCTAAGATTGGAACACAAGGGACTGCACAGGCTAGCCAAGTACTCTATCACTGAAATATAGACCCAGACTCTATGATGTTGTTTAGTAATAGAAGTAAACTGATATTCAACCATAGAAAAATAAATGCTATTGGAAAGAATTAGAGAAACTGAGGTCTTCTTGGCAGAGGGCAAAACTATGGAGAAAATATCTTTGGAAAAATGGGGAAATGTCAATATGGTTTGAGCAAATATAACTCTAAGATTGTATACTTACCCATGAATAATGGTAAGTCATCATAAATTTGTAACTGGGAAATATGACATGACCATATTTATGCTCTGAAAAGGAAATGCGTGCCATGCTATGGAGGAGGTACTAGACCAAGACAGGCGAGCATTAGAAAGGTAAAGTTTACCTTTCAACAATCCAGTAAAACTATAGAAATGCCAAAATAATGAGTTTGGAGAGAGATTCTGGAATTCAGGCACTAAAATTTTGTCACTAACTGAATTAAATGAAGAATTAGAGGACGATTTATAGGAAAGAAATGAGGACTGTAGGTTTTTAATGCAAGAGACTTAGTAGACAATGCCTTTAGCTAATAGAATTTAATAAAGAGAAAATGGAGACTTTTAAGTTAGAAATGACCACAAATAAAGTTTTTCTCCACTTACAGAAATATAAAAAATAGGTTTTGAACAGTGTTCAAAAGTTAACTGCTTCTTGAGAAACTATACACTTTACGAATCATAAAAAATGCTTTGAGAAAAAACACATGCAGCTCCATCAGAAAATCTAGTGAGGGAATTTAATAGAAAACACATAAAGTCTTCTTAATCCCAGCCCCAAAACCTGTTTTGTTTCCCTTGTAGGTAAATCATGTAGGACTCCTCAAGGACCCCTCCATGGTTCTGTGCATATAACCACGGGTTTCGAGTTTGGGTCAACAATTACATATTCTTGTAATGAAGGGTGAGTAGGTAGGATGCTTTTGCAAGATTCGCGGGTACTGAAATAATAAACAAAAACCTTTTCACATGAGTGAATACAAAAGCATAGTCTCTTTGACCTGCTTCAGAAATGACACTTCAGTAAAGACGACCCTTAGAGAGAAAGAAGATAAAGCTACCCTTCTATCAATCTTTAAGCCTCCAGTGCTATTAACTAGGAAGTCAGATCTTATCTGGCTATACTGTTGAGTTTATTATGTAAGTCCTTCTCTATCACTATTTCACTGTACCTTACATAATATCCTACCTTTTCACAGTCTTTAAGGCTTTTCCAAAGTGTCAGTATAACTGGGATATGATGAGTCACCTCTTTGCTTCTAGATACCGACTCATTGGTGACTCATCTGCCTCATGTATTATATCAGACAATACTGTAATATGGGATAATGATGTGCCTATTTGTGAATGTGAGTAAAAATGATCTTTTTATATAGCATCCTACTAATTTCTCTTATCCCCTTCTAAAGGGAAACTGGGCATCTGCACATAAAAATGAGTGCTTGGGAAGTTTTACTAGGTTTGCGTTGTTGTGGACCCAGTTTTAACTGATCTTCTTCCATGACTTTTAATTCTATCACACTTTTCAATGAATATTATTTTATGATGTTATTTAATAGTGAGTAGATTCTTAAGTTTAAAATATTCATTATATTACACACCGACAAAAGTAACCTTTCAAAAGTAGTTCACCCCAAGAAGCCTATAGTGCCAGAGTCTCTGTATTTTGAGCTCATAGCCTTTTGATTTTTTAAAAAGCTAGTTCCATTTATCTTCCTTTCTGGCTTATTCTTCAATTAGAGTACAGAATTTCAATATTATATATAAGTTGTAGGTAAAGATTAAGCTCTGTTTATGGGAATGAAGACTACATTTTCAAAAAAAAAAATGTAACATTCCAATGCCTTCTCTCCTTTCTTAACTACTTCCCTCCAAAAGCTATTCCTTGTGAGTCACCTCCAGCCATCTCCAATGGAGACTTCTACAGCAGCAGTAGCGACAGCTTTTTCTATGGGATGGTAGTAACTTACTATTGCCATATGGGAAAGAATAGGGAAAAACTGTTTGACCTGGTGGGTGAGAAGTCGATATATTGTACCAGCAAAGACAATCAAGTTGGCATCTGGAACAGTCCACCTCCTCAGTGTATTGCTATAGTCAAGTGCCCATTCCCAAAAATTGAAAACGGATACGTGGAGTCTGGATTTAAACGCTCCTTCTCCTTAAATGATACAGTAATCTTTAAGTGCAAGTCTGGCTTTACCATGAAAGGCAGCAGTATAGTGTGGTGCCAGCCAAACAGCAAATGGAGCCCTCCACTGCCAACATGCTTCAGGGGTAAGTTGGCCTGAAATTTTGGTTATCTATAAATAAAAATAGAGGTTCTACAGAATAGATACATGGTACTTATAGAAAGAATAGAAGGAATATGTGACTGGGTTTCTAGAATCAAAAATTCAAAAGTAAACTTTAGAAGTAATATCTATCATGGGAGGTCTCTAACTTTTAAAGGAATGGGGATTTTAGTTCATACTGGAACAGTATTGTAATTGTAAGAAAAAGGTATAACACACTTTTTTAAAAAAGCATTGGAATGTTTTAATGTAAAATTATGAAACATAAAACTCTTTGAAGAAAATAGATATGATACTTAGGAACATTGGAATAGTCAACATGCTTTGGATAAGACCATTAAAAGCATAGAAAACAATGACAAAATAGATGAATTGTATTACATAGAATAAAAAGTTTCTCTACAACAAATGAAACAATGGAACAAAGAGAATAATACAGAGCGAAATAAAATATTTCCAAACTATACATCTGACAAGGAATTACTATTCAGTATAAGGAACTGAAAGAACTTAATAGCGCAAAAGAAATCCAACATCAAAGTGAACATTAAAATTTTCTCAAAAATAAAATAAAATGAAATATATATAATGGCAAAGTGTTTAAGATTACTAATCGTCAAGAAACTACAAATCAAACCACAATGATGTATGAATTTTTTTTCGGTTAAAATGACTCATCAATAAAAATAGAACTAGAGAGATGGTTCAGTGCATAATATGCCTGTCTTAAAGCATGATGGCTTGAATTTAATCATGGAACCTATGTAAAAAGCCAAGTAGGGTGAGGAGGCAGAGACAGACAGGTTCCTGAGGCTTGCTGATCAGCCAGTCTAGCGTAGTTGGTGAGCCACAGTTCCCACTAAGAACCTTTGTCTCATAAAACAAGATCACCTCCTCTATATGCATATGTATTGACATACACCCCCACATACACACATGTAAGCATGAGGACCTGACCCGCTTCTACACATATAAAGACCCCTCCATTATACAATATATCAAATGCTGGTAAGAATGCAGATAAGTCAGATTAGATAAGAAGTAAATTCTGGTATCCCTACAAGCAGTAGAATTATTGCTGTCTGTATGTATATTTTGTTATACGGTATTTTAAATCTAGGATAAAGGACTTTGAAAGTTTGAAAAAGAATAATAAGTTTTAGAAGACAGATATATTTATTCTTATTTTTATATTACACGATATCACATGGTATCTCATAAATATGTATGATTACATTCTTTAAAGAATAAAATTAATTTTAAAACACAGTACAAAAGTTGATCATTAGAGTTTTTAATGATTTCATTATATTTCAATGAGAGTCAAATAAACTCTCCACTGTATTAACCATTTTGATAAAAGGAATTAGCTAAGATAAAATTTGATTCAAAATTTTGTAGATATCATCTTGATACTGAAAGTGTAATTTTGTGGAAGAAAGTCAGTAGTTATCTTGAGCCTGTGGCCCTCACTCTTTCCTTCTATTCTTACTGTGAATTGTCTGCTTTTCTAAAAGCAACAAAGCTTCATTAATGTTGCTTTTTTGGAGCAAAAACGATATGGCAGATTTGGGTGGGGAAAGTATTTGTTAGATTCCTTATCTACCCAATTGGTGGAAGGATATCCCAGAGTTTTTAGTTGAATAAAGTGGAAAAATGACTTAAGAGTAGTGTTTCCTGGAATAGATCAAAACAGAAAAAGCAGATAGACACATGGCCTTCCAAGTCTGACACATTAGAGAAGAATACATTAATCCTATCCTATGGCCTCCCTCTCTGCCTTGGTGTGGGAGAGTAAATAGCCATAAGTTGTAAAGAATACAGTTCTTATGGAAGAAATAAAAGGACTTTTTGGTCCTGTTCTTTCCTCAGGATGTCTACCACCTCAAAATATCCTCCATGGTGATTATAACGAAAAGGATAAGGAAATCTTTTCTGTTGGCCAGAGTGTGTCCTATAGTTGTAAACCTGGCTATACTCTCATTGGAACTAACCATGTGGAGTGTACATCCTCGGGAACCTGGAGCCATGCAGTTCCGACATGTGCAGGTGCCTGGAGCTTTAGTTCTGTTAAACTCAACGGTTTCCTGACTCTTCATGTGCAAGCATTCTCTTTTCTTTCCTAGTGAAATCATGTGATGCCCTTCCAAACCAACTTCTCAATGGCCATGTGTTTCTTCCCCCTAATCTCCAGCTTGGGGCGGAGGTTTCCTTTGTTTGTGACCTAGGGTGAGTGTGAAGTAATAGGTCCTTCACTGATGGTTTCCCATAGTGATTGCAAAGCATGAGTTCTGAGGATAGTTAAATTTTTACTGTCTTATTATTTTCTTTACTTTTCTTGACGTCGTCTGACTGAGAACTCTGCCATCAACCAAATTCTTTTTATTTTTTTTCACGTGCATATATTTTGTGCTTGACCAGCAAAAGTAGGAATTGTCATTTCATCGTCTGGAAATGCAAAGTTTTGGTTCACAAATTAAGGCTCCTATTATGGAAAATAAATACAAAATTTGGATTTATCGAGACACATTGGAGTAAACTTGGGAAACAAGGCCTTTGTTAATTTTTCTATAAGAATTGAGACAATTTTCCTGAAGATGATCAAGATTATCTTGACATTCAGGTGCCAAAAAGGAGAGGGAGAATTCAAAAAAAAAGATGCATTTTTAGTATGTTTTTATCCATGATTGACTCACTGTTTAGTGAATCAGATTCACAAGTAACTGTGAGCTTTTTCTTAAGCCAGAAATATTTTAAAACGCCTTCCATCCTACGCATACATGAGAGAAGGGACTCACTCTGTATAATTGAAAAGTGGTTTGCTCTGGTGATGATTTGCTGCTCCTTATTGTTTAAGGTTCCAGTTAAAGGGCAAATCTTCTAGTCAATGTGTCCCAGAAGGAGAGACAGTAACCTGGAATAATAAGTTTCCTGTCTGTGAACGTGAGTAGAAAATAAAAATAATCAAATATGGATCTTGTCTCTTGACTCTCTGTATTTCTGTACAGTTATTAACTATAATAACTCAGGGTTAGGGTTACCCTAACCCAATTATGTACTTTAAACAAATAACTGCCACTGTCTTCTATTTAAAATGCAGAAAAAGTATTACATCTGTTCACTTGTTAACATACTATATTGTGATTCTATAAATAAAATAATAAAGGCTCTGGAAAGCTACCTGTATCAAAACCAAGCATAACTCTTTCTAGTGTTGAAACACTGGTTATACCTTCATATGTCATGTCTTGTACTGAAAAGCTCTACCTACTACCAAGTGGACATTAATAAAATGCAGACGTTGACAACTTTCTTTTCTTTTAAATTTATTTGTTTTTATTTATTTGTTTATTTAGTTTTTATTTATTCACTTTAAATCCTACTTACTTCCTCCCTCCCAGTCACCTTCTCCCACAATCCTTCCCCCTCCCCTTCTTTTCTGAGTGGGTGGAAGTCCCACTGGGTATCTCCCCACCCTGGCACATCAAGGCGCATCCTCTCCCATGGAAGCCAGACAAGGCAGCCCAGCTAGAACATAGCCCACATACAGGCAACAGCCTTTGGGATAGCCCACACTCCAGGATATCTGTTTCTTTATTTCCCAGAAAAGATGAGTATGTGTCATATTAGCTGCCAACAATTAATTTCCTTCATGTCACTAGAATATATAAAGAATATGAGATCTCTACTCAAAATATCATTTCAGTGGTTTTCTCAAAGGAATCTGTCATTAAGGGATCACGTGACTTGTTACGAGGCTGCAGTGTCTTTGGTGACAGTATCTAATGTGACTATGCTACCTGCAAGCTGGCTGTGTGTTTCAAACAGGCACTGAGTATGTAGTGTGTTTCGGGTATTATGCCTGCTAATTCACATGCTTTTGTCTCCCTGCGTTCTCTTTATATGTTATGGAACCTGAACTACATTATAGATAGGGACTCTGAGGCTGAATGAGGATATAACTTGCCTAAGGTCATACAGCTATTGCATGACAGCAAGGATTTAAAACCATGGCTATTGAGCCCAAACGTCAACAGTCCAGGCTGACTTCCTAATGCAATTAGCATGTCATTAACATATTTTAAGATTGCCTTACGTTTATTAAAATCGTTTGGAGTAAAAAAAAAAAAACCTACAAAAATAATCCCTGAAACTACAAGTTAGATAGATTTGAGATCAATTCTATTTCCTTGTGCTGTCTGATTAAGGTGATTGATATTCATTTCTTTGCAAAGGATCAACAGAGGTAAGAATTTAGGCATTTGCAAATAATCAACAAACAAAAAGTAAAAAAAAAAAAAAAAAACCATAGCAAAGCATTTGATTTCTAAATATATTTCTGGAAATGTGACTTGATCTATACTCGAAATTTTGATTTATTTATTTTTTAAATGATCAGTATGCTTACGTGGTTCCTTTTCTACTTTTCAGAGATTTCTTGTGAGCCTCCTCCTGATGTCAAAAACGCTCGGAAACTCTATTATACTCTTCCCATAATTCCTGGAACTGTTGTGAGGTACACGTGCTCATATGGTCACCGCCTCATTGGAGAAAAGGCTCTCTTTTGTATAAGTACAGATCAAGTGACTGCCACGTGGGATAAAGCTGCTCCTATATGTGAACCTGCGAATAAAGCCCTTTCGTGCTCAGAGCCCACGGTACCAGGAGGATCCATCACTAAAGGAAACAGACTACAATACAGACACGGTGATTCTGTGACGTTTTCCTGTGAAGCCAACTTCACCATGAAAGGAAGCAAAACTGTTTGGTGCCAGGCAAATAAAATGTGGGGACCAACAGCACTGCCGGTCTGTAAGAGTAGTAAGTAGGAAATAAAAACTAGTTGGGTTCCTGGGGTCTGCTAGCTTGTGAGAACATTGAGTGTGGAAGCAAAGCTACATCAAGGGCTGGGGTCTGCCAACCAGAGAGAGTGTTGAGAGGAAGTAAAGCGTCATCGAGGACTATGGCCTTCCACTTAGGGGCATGCTCCTGAAGGAAGAATTGTATGGGACTGTGAGTTGCAGAGACGTGAGCTGGGGTAGAATAGCAAGTGAAAAAAGGAAATGATGGCTTTCTGCTTTTTCTTAGTTGTAGGCATTATAACTATTTGAGTAAAAAGAGTTTAAAATAATTAAGGGAATTTTAACTGAACATAACATCCTTGGGGAAGTCTTCCAAGGGTGAGGAGCTAGTGGGAACCCTGGGAATCAGGTGACTGTGGGAAATTTGGAGTCTGGGAGCAAAAATATGCTCAATGGATTTAAGATCCATCAGTTAATATATGTTGACTGCAGTCTGAAGCAATGCCCTGCTCTGTGGCCCCGGCAAACATGTTCACAAGTGATCTACTCTTTATTCAAATCATCTCCTGGGCTGTAGCATTTCAAATCAACTAACTTTAAAAACAAGGACTACTGTGAATGTTTATTCTCATTTCATCTGCTTTATATTGCTAATGAATCTAAATCAAAAGTTTAATTCTGAAAGTATAGAAATTATCAGCATTCGATAAACTTATACTATAAAATTTTAGTAGAGAAAATATTGATAAATAGATCAGAGAACTTAGGAATACTATATTGTTTATAAATATGATTGTCTCTGGCCTGGTAGCACAGAGATGCAATATCAACTTCTCAGTAGGCTGAAGTAAGAGGGTTATTAGTTCAAGGCCTGCCTGAGTTCACTGCAATTTTAAAGCTGCCTGGACAATTTAGCCAGACTTTGTAGCAAAATAAAAAGTAACAAAAGGGATTGTGGATATAACTCAATGACAGAATGCTTGCCTGGTTCAATCCTAAGTACCACAAATTATTTTTATTCCACTTGCATATCAGTAGATTAACTAACCAGTAGACAAATGGACAGTCTTAGAGGAAAGTGTTCTTTAAGATAGTCTGAAAATGGATTATCTATGGAAAACAAATGTTAAAGATGTAGGTGACCATACATATATATATATATATATATATATATATATATATATATATATGGAAAAACATCAAAGATATATTGTGCTAGGGAATAAAATGGAGTTAGAATAGTATGTGTGTTAACATAATGTACATATTTACATATGTATTATAAATAAGATACCAAAAAAAAAACTGTATTAGTAATGTCTGTCAGGATAATCCTCTGAAAGATAGACTTTAAGCTGAACCATTCTAGAAACTGAAATTTTTCTCAAGGCAAAAGTAATCCATATAACGTAATTAAAGCTGAAAATGACACAATAAAGCTAGGTATGGTGGTACACACCTTTAATCTCCACACTTGGGAGGCAGAAAGCAGGTGGATCTTTGTGAGTTAAAAGGTAGCCTGATTTGCATAGAGAGTTACATTCCAAGCAGGGATAACTAGTAACCCCTTGCCCCAATTTGTAATTGCTTTTGCATAAATGGAAATAATTAAGCCACATCTGCTTGAGAATGAATTGAAAGTTACTAGTTACCACTATTTACTTAGCTAGATTTAGAAGCATGTATCAACTGATTGATGGCTTTCTTCTATGTGTATGTATAAAGAGTTCCCTCTGGACTGCCCATCACTTCCAGCGATTCATAATGGACACCACACAGGACAGCATGTCAACCAGTTTGTTGTGGGGTTGACTGTGACATACAGTTGTGAACCTGGCTATTTGCTTACTGGAAAAAAGACAATTAAGTGCTTATCTTCAGGAGACTGGGATGGTGTCATCCCGACATGCAAAGGTATCTTAAATTTACTATCTATTTGAGGCTGACCTGATACAGACCATGGTTTGTTTATTATTCTTGCCATTTTTTTTTCCTTAGAGGCCAAGTGTGAACATCCAGGAACGTTTCCCAATGGGCAGGTAAAGGAGCCTCCGAGTCTTCAGGTTGGCACAACTGTGTACTTCTCCTGCAATGAAGGGTGAGTATCAGGAGGTTCTGTAAAATGTAATGTTCTCAGATCATATATGCCTGCTGTGAACCATGATGCCTACAGAAAGAATGTGGATGAACCTGGAATAATCTGGAATAAGGTGGTGAAAGAGAATATTGGTAAAAGAGTAACGGTACAGATTAAGTGGACTCTTCATAGATTTGAAATCAAGCCTGCCAGTTTTACAGCACAAACTGCCTAATAGTACCAAATTCTAACCCCTGTCTTCAGGTACCAATTACAAGGACAACCCTCTAGTCAGTGTGTAATTGTTGAACAGAAAGCCATCTGGACTAAGAAGCCAGTATGTAAAGGTAGGTAAGACAATGGTGGTTTATAAGAAAATACAGAGGTCCACACATACTGCATTCTTGACTTTCCTAAAAGCATACACTTTTTTTCTATAAGCATAGATAATAGATAAATGATAGATAGATAGATAGATAGATAGATAGATAGATAGATAGATGATAGATAGATAGATAGATGATAGATAGATAGATGATAGATAGATGATAGATAGATAGATGATAGATAGATGATAGATAGATGATAGATAGATAGAGAGATAGATAGAGAGATAGATAGATAGATAGATAGAGATAGAGAGATAGGTAATGAATAGATGATAGATAGATATAAATAGATTCACAGCAAAAAAATGAAAAATAAAAAAACCAATAACCTAGAAATCTTAAGGATTTAAGGGTGTGGTCTGCACTGCAGCACCCTTCAGTTACCTTTTTGCTCTGTTTCCTTAACTGAAGTAAACTTAGTGACTTTTCTCTCTCCCAGAAATACATGATCTTGCTAAGGGGACTTGAGCCATGTATATAAGGAAGATTGTGTATTTGGTAATTAGAACTAAGAAATCAGCAAAGGAGATGTATTCAAAGATAAACTTTTAAAACCACAGTTGTAATTGTATTGCATTAACTTACTGAATGACTCAACAGTTTCAGAAACCACTGTCCTTTACCATCTTTAGAAATTCTCTGCCCACCACCTCCACCTGTTCTTAATGGAAGACACACAGGCAGCGCTTCGGGAAATGTACCATATGGAAGCACAGTTACCTACACATGTGACCCAAGCCCAGAGAAAGGAGTGAACTTCACTCTTATCGGAGAGAAGACTATCAATTGTACCGCTGATAGTCAGAAGTCTGGGATCTGGAGTGGGCCTGCTCCACATTGTGAGCTTTCAATCCCTGCAGTTCAGTGTGTACAACCCCAGATCAACAGAGGACAGATGTTATCTATTTTGAAACATAGTTATTCATATAACGACACTATGACATTTTCCTGTGATCCTGGCTTCACCATGAAGGGCAGCAGCAGAACTCGATGCAGTGCCCAGGGCACATGGGAGCCACCAGTACCAGTGTGTGAAAAGGGTAGGTACGTGAGATGCAAGGATGAACCATTCTGAAAAGTGAGAGGAAGGGTCTATGGACTCTACACAGGGTCTTTTTATAGTACCTACACTTGATTTGGGGATACAAATTATAAAGAAGGCTTTCTTTAGCACCCTCTCACCACCATGGAAAATTCACCAGAATTTACTGTTATCCATTTCTTTAAGAAATATGAGAGTGTTCAATCAAACCTAACACTCAAGAGACTGGGAGCCCCAGGGAGTTTAGAGGTCAGGTGGGGTGGGGGTGGAGGGTGGACATCCTCGTGTAGACAGGGGTGGGGGTGGGGAGGAGGTATGGGATATGGAACAGTTGGAAGGTGGATGGAGGGGAATAAAATCTGGAGTGTAAAAAAAAATAAATTTTTGAAAAAAAAGAAGAAAAAAGAAAAAAGAAATATGAGAGCAAAAACTCTTGTTTATCCTAACAATCATTTTTAAAAGGACAGCCAACAAGCTTTCACCTGGGGGGAGTATATTAAAATATTCCATAAAGTCTTCTAAGATTGTTCCTTCAGAGGAGAAAATCTGGTGTAATGGTACATGTCAAGAATGCTATGACTGGGGAGACTAATACAAGAAGATTGTGAATTTGAAATAAGCTTGGGGCACATAGCAAAGTCCTATCTTTAAAAAAAGTAAAAGAAAGAAAAAAGTTGAGGGAATAGGAGGTGAGTTGTGGCAAGCAAGAACCAAACAGATTAGTATCAGCATGAGTATAGAAAAGATGATTGAGAAATAAGAACTGAAATCACCTGAGAACTACAAAATACCCTCTGTTCCAGACAACTGCCATACAAATGGTACTATCATATTGATTTTGACTACTTTGGCTCAGTTTCTGTTTTTTAGGCTAAAAATGTTTCATTGTATCTGTTTTTCATATAGGATGTCAGGCTCCTCCTAAAATCATCAATGGGCAAAAAGAAGATAGATACTTCCTCAACTTTGACCCTGGCACATCCATAAGATATAGCTGTGACCCTGGCTATTTACTGGTGGGAGAGGACACTATATATTGTACCCCTGAGGGGAAGTGGACACCAATTGCCCCCCAGTGCAAAGGTACTATGCCACAATTACAAATATTTTGCTTAAGATTATCTTGTGTTGTTACCCATTCTATCTTTTTTCTTAGTTGCAGAGTGTAAGCCAGTAGGACCACATCTCTTTAAGAGGCCTCAAAATCAGTTTATTAGGACAGCTGTTAATTCTTCTTGTGATGAAGGGTGAGTGAAACATGTCTTACTCTGTATGATGTCTGTCTCATCAGTACCCTCTACAAACTGTGTATAAGAGTTCATTTCAAAGGACTTCCCTTGTCATATGCCCACATATTTTTACAATATTTTCCATGCATGAGGACTATGCAATTGATGGATGGTGCTGAGGTTGGCTGTATTTTATTCCTGTTGTGTTTTGTCCTAAAATTTGTCAGTCTGCCTCTAGAGCCCATAATGCTTCCTTAGTTTATCATAACCATGTGGTCAAATGATATGACTCTTTGTCTCCAGGTTCCAGTTAAGTGAGAGTGCTTATCAACTGTGTCAAGGAACAGTTCCTTGGTTTATAGAGATTCGTCTTTGTAAAGGTGAGTAACAAAATTGAGAGAGGATTTAAAGTGGTGTAAGATTGATAAGTTTCCTACTTTAGACCTATGCTATGGGAATTACTACATTATTTTGTCAAGTTTTACAGCTATCTATTTTGCCACTTTTCTTTTGTCATCTCTTTCTCTAATCAGTCAAATTCCATGTACTTAGTAACCTAGTTTATGTTGTGGTTTAGGATGTTCAGGACATAGAGAGATCACTCTATCTGAGCCACAATTCCTACTTTGGTTTATACATCAAGGTTTAGTGAAGAGGTAGGAGATTGGTGTCAAATCCAAATTCAGATTCTGTTCCTGCTGTCTAATACTTGTATGACCTTTGGCAACATATATATCTTTAATTTAATTTTTATTTACAGTGAAATTTGTTTAAATCAAATTTTATATACACAATAAGGTTTAATCACAGAATGAGTGTGTCACCCATACCCTCCAGAGAAATAACATGGTCAGAACGGCTGCACTTCTAACCCTTTGTCAGATGTCTACAGTATCTTCTCATATCCCTAGAAATCACCTGCCCACCACCTCCTCTTATCCACAATGGGACCCATACAGGAAGTTCCTCAGAAGATGTCCCATATGGAACTGTGGTCACATACATGTGTTATCCTGGGCCGGAGGAAGGAGTAAAATTCAAACTCATCGGGGAGCAAACCATCCACTGTACAAGTGACAGCCGAGGAAGAGGCTCCTGGAGTAGCCCTGCTCCTCTCTGTAAACTTTCCATCCCTGCTGTCCAGTGTGCAGATGTCCATGTTGAAAATGGAATCAAGATCACTAAAAATGAAGCCCCTTATTTCTACAATAATACTGTGACATTCAAGTGTCATGATGGATACATTTTGATTGGAAGCAGTCAGATCCGCTGTAAAGCCAATAACACCTGGGATCCTGAAGAACCACTTTGTAAAAAAGGTAAAAAGGCAAATCCAATGGAAAATTTAGAAGATATTTACTTATTTATAATTTTTTATGTTTTTAAATTGAACTGAGGGGCTGAAGATCAAATTTGGCACCTTGCACAAACTAGTCACATATGGGCGACATCTCCAGCTTTAGTCTTCTTATCTCCCACTCAAAACAAAAGTCTTGAAATGAAGGCAAAAGGACATAGATTATTTTTATACTTCCTTTATTCGAAAGAAATCTATAAATCTGTTGGATTATGATCTTTGCATAAATGTACCCTTGGATTTGGAACATATTCAAGATATGTAATTAGAAGACCTTTGAAAGCAGCCTCATACCAAAAAGAAAGACAACTCAGTAACTGAAGGATCATTCAGATTATGATCAGGATCTCACAGTCCTGAAGGCAGACAGTGGATAGATTTGTTCCTCAGTATGTATCAAGGATCACAAGTATAATCACATAACAGAAACCATTCTATGACAGATGAGAGCTTCCTGAGCCATGCCTTCAAGGTTTCTAATTGGCACCATCTGTTGTGTTCTTACAATTCTCAAGTAAAATGCTTGTCATTGGTGGTTATGTGTGATGTTCTTTCTCCAGGCCACCACCCTCTTAGGCCCCTCTATACTTGGTGCATATATATATACATATATATATATATATATATATATATATATATATATGAATGAATGGTCTTCTGACTCTGGGATGACTTGTGGCCTGTGCTACAAGCTATGGAAACAAATCTACCCATTGCCTTCAGGACAATAGTCTTGGGCATAATGTGAAGGTTCTTTTGGTTCCTGGGTCACATTTCTTTTTGTTATGAGGAATCTAAAAGCAATCTCCACTTTGTCTCTCCAGAAGGATGTGAGCCTATAAGAGACCTTCCAGATGATTCACATATAAAACTAGTGACTAGAACCTGTCAAAATGGGTGAGTGTGAAGTTGTCCATTTTAAGAAAGAATGCCCACCTTATATTGTATATTAAATCTACCCACAGCTTGTTTTGATCAAAAACCTCTTACCCACAATGGTCAAACTAGCAGCTCCTGCCTGCTTTTCTGACATGGGAAGGGCTTTTTAAAGTGCTTCTTATTTAAAAATAAAAATAGCATTCTGATTTGGATAACTGAAAGTTTAAGTTTCTTTGTGCCAAGGGCCTGATTTAGAAATATCTTTATAGTTGTACTGTTTATGATGAAGAAGTAAAATGCTGAGAAGAAACGTAATATAATATCTTTTTTTAGGTACCAGTTGACTGGACATACTTATGAGAAGTGTCAAAATGCTGAGAATGGGACTTGGTTTCAAAAGATTGCAGTTTGTACAGGTAAATTATGGACATGTGAGAAGCCATCCATAGATTAGAAAGTTAGAAATGGAAAATCAATTAATGGAGAACAAGTTTACAATTACTTTAATAGTTTATACTGCTTATTGCTATGTACATATAGGACATGGTAAATCTTTCAGTTTTGATCAAAACTGTATTTCTTTCTTTATACTTCATTTTATTTTCTGAATTTTTTTTTGGAATGAACATGTATTACTTATATAAGCATGAAATGTGATAAAGTTGTATAACCACAGGCGTGCTCTAGTTTCCAAACCTTAAGCAATTTTCCATTTATATAAAATATAAAGCACTTGTACAGTGTTGTTTATACTGTGACGAATGCTCAAACTCTCTAAATCTCTTCTGCAGTTATTCTCTGTCAACCTCCACCAACAGTTGCAAATGGTAGTCACACGGGCACAATAGCAGAGCGCTTCCTGTATGGAAATGAAGTTTCTTATGAATGTGATCAAGGGTTCTATCTTGTGGGACAGAAAAGTTTGCAGTGCAGAAGTGATTCTAAAGGTCATGGATCTTGGAGTGGACCTCCACCACAGTGCTTAAAATCCTCTCCGCTAACTCATTGCCCTGACCCACAAGTCAAGCATGGATACAAACTCAATAAAACTCATTCTGCATACTCTCATAATGACATGGTATATTTTGTCTGCAATCAAGGCTTCATCATGAAAGGCAGTCACTTGGTAAGGTGTCATACTGATAACACATGGCTGCCAGGTCTACCAACTTGTATCAGAAAGGGTAAGCCATTTTCATGATAAAAAGTGAGACGTTTTACAAAATAAAAAGGCTTTTGAGTTTGCCCTCTACCTAGAAGTAAAGCATCTAAAAGCTAAAGCAGTCAGTGTTTTTATAAGATTATCTGCCTTTTCCTGTCTTCTCACTTGATTTTTTTCACTTTCCTTTCTATAGAGCAAGAGTACCTGGAATGATGATTGACATAGAGATTAATCTCTAATTTATTCATTCTTATGACTTTAGAATTGGGAAAGTGGGCATCTCTAATTTATTCATTCTTGTGACTTTAGAATTGGGAAAGTGGGCATACTTTTTGGCAAATACTTGACAAAAACATTCTTTGAAATTTTGATATTTAAGGCCATTGTGTCACCCAGAAGGAGAATGTGCTATGTAATGAAGAATGAAGCTGACCTTCAAACCCACTAAATTGTCTCATAATTTTAGCTGTTACTTGACAGCTTGTTCCTGCTAGTGAGGTGCAGCCTCACTAAATTAAACTGCACAGAGGTGTGGTTTGTATGTGCCATGCATAGATTATAGCCCAGTTTCTATGGAGAGAGAAGATAATAGATTAATTCGTTGAAAACACTCCTCCACTTTGGGACCAACGAAGGGAAGATCCTAGAATACCATGAGCTGATAAATTATAATACTTCTGACTCTTTTCTTTTAATCATATATGGTGTAAAGAGGAAAAGCATACATTTTTCCAAACTTGAGAATTAACTAATTGGCTTATTTCTCATTGCTTTTCTGGGTTACAGAAAATGGTGTTGTCCATTCCAGAGATGGTGTTGTCTATGTGTTATTCTGTGCCCAATTAAAATTATTTTCTTGTTGATATCTAAGCCTCTTTAGGGTGCCAGACTCCACCCACAATCCCCAATGGGAATCATACTGGTGGGACTGCAGCGCGATTTTCCCCTGGAATGTCAGTCATGTACAGTTGTTACCAAGGCTACCTTATGGCTGGAGAGGCACGTCTTATCTGTACTCATGAGGGTGCCTGGAGCCAGCCTGCCCCTTATTGCAAAGGTACTTTTTCTGCTTTGTTTTTTGTTATTTTTTTCTAGCAAAGTGATTTGTCCTAAATATATATGTTCTTTTAAGCATTTTGAAATTAAAATTATTAGAGATCAATTATATGATAATTAAGTGTATTTAATCAATTAATACAAACTTGAAGTGTTTTTTTGTAATTTAAGCAACTAAGCAAGATTATACTGCCATAGTCACATTATTGTTAAAGTTATAATAAGAGTGAATTTGACAAATATCCCTAAACCTTCAGTCATATGATTGTAGATATACATTATAAAGAAGGCTTTTGTACTATTCACCACTATGTAAAATATGCTAGAATTTACTATTTTTCATTTATGTAGAAAATATGAAAGCAAAAGCTCTTGTTTGTCTTAAAAATATTTTTAAATTAATTCTTTTATTTATTTACATCCCAAATGTTACCCCACTTCCCAGAGTTCTTCACCCTCTCCCCTCTCCTCTTTACCTTGGAGAGGCTGCATCCCCACCCCACATCCCCCTCCTCTGGGTCATCAAGTCTTTACAGGATTAGGTACTTTTCCACTAGGGCCAGACAAGGCAGTCCTCTACTACATATGTGCCAGGGGCCTCAGGCCAGCCTGTATATGCTTTGGTTGGTGTCTTAGTCTCTGGGCGCTTCCCAGGGTCCAGGTTAGTTGACAATGTTGGATTTCCTGTGGGGTTGTCATCCCCTTCAGCTCCTTTAGTCCTTCCCATAACTCTTCCATAGGGGTCCCTGACCTCAATCCAAAGGTTGGCTGTAAGTGTCTGCATCTATATCAGTCAGTTCCTGGTAGAGTCTCTCAGAGGACTGCCATACTAGACTACTGTCTGCAAGCACCAGATAGCATCAGGAATAGTGTCAGGGTTTGGTACCTGCTCATGGGATGGATCCCAAGTTGGATTGGTCAGCCATTTCTTCAGTCTCTGTTCAATTTTTGTCTCTGCATTTCTTTTAGACAGGAATAATTTTGGGTCAATAATTTAAAGGTCGGTTGGTGTCCTCATCCCTCCACTGGGGCCCCTGTCAAACTACTGGAGGTGGGATCTTCATGTTCCATATCCTCACTGTTGGGCAATTCAGCTAAGGTCTCTGGAATTTTCCAGAGGTTTAAAAGTTTGTTTTTTTTTTTCTTTTAAAGGAAAGTTACCAAAGCTTTCACCTGGGGGTATATTAAAATATTCTATAAAGTTTTCTAAGATAGTCCCTTCAGAAGGCAAAGTTGGTATAATGGCACGTGCTTAAAATGCTAAAACCAGGGAAACTGATACAAGATTGTTAATTTGATTAGATTCCTAAAACAAAAGATGACTCAGGAACCAAAAGAGCTGTCACGTTATGTCAAAGACTCTATTGTCCTGAAGGCAATGGGTGGATTTGTTTCCATAACTTGTAGCACAGGCCACTAGTCATCCCAGAGTCAGAGGACCATATTTCTATATATATACGCCAAGGATAGAGGGGCCTAAGTGGGTGGTGGCCTGGAGAACAAACATCACACATAACCACCAACGACAAGCATTCTACTTGAGAGCTGTAAGAAAACAACAGATGGTACCAGTTGGAAACCTTGAAGGCATGGCTCAGGAAGCTCTCATCTGTCACAGAATGGTTTCTGTTATGTGATTATACTTGTGATCCCAGATACATGCTGAGGAACAAACCTATCTACTGTCTGTGAATATTCAGGACTGTGAATGAAAGCTACAATGTTCTTTGGATTTTGTTTCCCTATTTGGTACTGAGATTATGGGCAATTTTTGCAAATTTTATAACTATCAACAGTGTGTATAAAATAAGCGTAGTGGGTCAGTATAGAATATTGCTGAGGATTCTACTATATGTCAGATACCCTAATTATGATCTCATGTAATGTTCATGAGACCCAAAGGAGAATGGTGCTGTTACTATTCTGCCATTTAGATAAGGTTCCAATATTTCAGAAAGATTTGTGACTTACTCAAAGTCACACAACTAGCAGTGAGTATTCAAGTCCAAGCTTTTACTAGGCATGTTTCTAATTTTCATATTGTGGAACAATGTTATCATACATAAAATTCATGTTCAAGGACTGTGTGTGCAAGTGGGGCAAATGATAGCCCAATGGTTAAGAGTGCATGCTGTTCTTCCATAGGACCCAAGTTCAGATTCCATCACCCACATAGGGTAGCCCACAGCCACCTATAACCCCAGATGTGGAACATCCAATGCAGAAAAAGAGGACTTTCTGGTCTCTGAGGGTACCCATACATATGATGTCATTGTGTACGCACACATACACAGACACACACAGAGGGGGAGAAAGGAGATTGAGGAGAAATAAATATTTTAAAAAGAAATGAACAATCAAGTTACCAAAAATGTCATTATATTTTAAATATGTTTAAGATTTTGTATTAGTATCTGTATTCCCCCTGAACACCCACACTCCAGTGTCATCCCCTTCCCCACATCCTGCCTTTCTATGTTTATAACCACTGTGTGAATGAATTACGATTTGAGAAAAATAAATAAATTATTTAAAAACAAACAAACAAACAAGATTTTGTGTTAGGTCACATTCACAGGTATTGTAGTCTGAATATGACCACTTGTGGTGTTAAGTCGATTTTATAAGTAGTCTTGTGTTTATCCTGGCTAGCTACCAAATAAATGAGACAGACTATAAGATGTATTTAATCAACCTTTATGGCATAATATATGAGCAGTATTGATCTATTATTAATCCTCTAAAATAATATGGCTATCTCTCAGCCAAAAATCCCCGAGATACTTGTATTTTAGTATTGACCAGGCTCTCTCGCTCCAGGTGTCTTGTCATGGTGTCTCCTCTACCCTCTCCTCAGAGTGGATCCTCCCCTCTTCTATCTCTCTCTGCCTCCCCTGGCTGGGATCAGAAGTCCACCCCTGTTCTCTCCTTTGTTCAGCCATCAGTTTTTGAGAAATCAGAGAATAAATGAGAAACAATGTTTATACAACTTTGAGACCAAAGATTCTTAGAAGAAGCATTACAGTGTCATGTCCAGTTTACAATCAAATATGGAGGGGACAGAGAAATCAGCATTTGAATAACATAAGGATAATATTTACACGGTGCACAATAACAGTATGCCTACACCGTAGCCTGCAGGCTACAAGTTGAACACCATTGGTTTATATGCTCAAATATAAAAGAAGAAATGAGAATGCAAGTGCATGTATAAGAATCGGAGAGTAAGACTAGAAATCAAGAAAGAACAGTAATTTGGACCACTTAATATTGTACATTCATCCCTTAGTATTTCTCCAAGAAGGCATTAGAATTATTTAAATATTATTAGCATTGACATGTAAATAGGAAACAAACCACCTTAATTTGTTAGGTAGTTGCAAAATGGTTGACAATAAAGACTGCTCTATTGCCTTCTGCTATTCAATGAAGCTTTGCTTACCACATGAAATAAGTTGACTTCATAACCCTTCTAGAAAGGACAGTTCCTATTTTCTTGGTAAAATCATGAATCTGTATTAGTAAGATTTTTTTTTTTTAATTGCAGAGGTAAACTGTAGCTTCCCTGAAGATACAAATGGAATCCAGAAGGGAGTTCAACCGGGGAAAACCTATCGGTTTGGGGCTACTGTGACTCTGGAATGTGAGGATGGGTATACCTTGGAGGGAAGTCCACAGAGCCAGTGCCAGGATGACAACCAATGGAACCCTCCTCTGGCTATCTGCAAATACCGTAAGTGCAGTGCCTTATTCCTGTTTGCATAATGCCCGTGTAGGAGGGAATGGAGTGTTTAATCAGTGTAGGAGATTCCTGGGGCTTTGACATGGTGAACAGTTGTGTGACAAGAGACTAACTAAAAGTCAATACAAAGTAGTAATCAATACAAAGAAAAGTATAGTTTAGTATGGGGCACATCACATCAAAAGGGCACAATAATCTAAAAGGAGCAAAAATGTAAAACACTGCTTTCTATTTTGGAAAAAAAAACTACTAAGACTTCTCTTTTGGCTAATTTTTAAGTACTTACTAACTTGAGAGGTACTTTAAAAACATGTCAACTAACTTGTTATAACAGTTCATATTTTCATTTGATCCCTAAAATCACTGCCTAGAAAGCTGAGTGTATTAATAAACTCACAACTTATTTAATCAAGGTAAGAAGATATCCATTGAGTTTTGACATAATAAAAGAGTTGGTGTACCTTGGGGAACAAATATCTATACCATAAGCAGACTGAGAGCTGAGTGTTGATTTCTGGGACATTATCAGATGTAATGGTACTTATATGACATTATCTTGTACTGCTAGACTGATACTTTGTGATTTTTTTTTTTATTCTCCTTAGGGTCAACTATTCCTCTTATTGGTGGTGAGTTTTCTTAAATACTTGGAGAGTTCTTATATTTTTTGTTAATATATAATTAGAGGTTTTACATTCTATACATTAATATGTTTCATTTTAATATATTGGATCTGATGTTCTTTCATGTTTTAAGGGTATTTTAATGTTCATGACATATTCTAAAATGTCCCTTTAGGTTAGAGTTAAAATGCTATTCAAGGACAAAACTGTATTCAAGGTTTTTAAATTGAACATCTCATTTTATTTGCTTTTAGTATTTGGTACGATTTAAATAAGTAATCTTATTCTGCTATAACAAAGCATACATCACAACAAATATTGTTATGCAAAATTATGGGATTCTGGTATTCTATGTTCCTAATTATACCCTAGGGTCAAAATTGTTTAATGAAACTGAAAAGAACAACAACAACAAAAATATCTTGGAAAGTTGACTAGAGCCTTGTAGTCCGTGTGCCTAATGCTGCAAATAAAATATGGATTAGATACAATTAGAAAAAAGTAAAGCCTAATTATGATTGTTCAGTAATTCACTGTTTATGGTTAAGAAAAATATATTAAAGAATCACACCAACAACTTCTGTGCCACTATGAGTAGGCCCTACTATCGGTTCCTAGCAAGATATGTCACATTTTTTTTCTGGCATTAAATATTCATTTTCTCCCTTCAGGTATTTCTGCAGGCTCAGCATTTGTCATTTTGATTACTGTCGGCTTCTGTATGATATTAAAACACAGAGAATGGTAAGTCCAGATGGATGTTTGACCAACATACACAACAGCTCTGAGTTCTTGTCTCCAATCAAACAAAACACACTTATATGAACTGAAATTACAATGTGATTTCTAGAATAAAGTGTTTTGTTGTTATAGAGGGCAGATTCTCTATAGGAACTTAAAAGATACCCCATACATACCTTAATTTGTAAAAATCAAATTTTAAAAAAAAACTAAGAAATAGCACAAAACCAAATACCAATGATAACACCTGGACATTTTGAAGTGTTCTGTTTAATGGTTCTCTTGTATTCTTTCTCTCTTTTGTTTTGTAAACTCATATAACTGTTTGTCTAATTTCCTTTAGTTTATATAAAGCTTTTAAATAATTATTGTCTTTCTAAAATATAAAAGTAAATATATTGGTTCTAAAAATGAAATGATCTATATAGGAACCACACCCTTTATTCTTATATACTCAGACTGATGCCTTTAAAGGCCAGTGTTAAAGAATGTCAACAATTTACTAAGAATGTATCATGTGTTACTCTGTAGAGCAAATATACATGTGATTCTGTAAAAATGTTTGCAAATGATGCTAGATAAATAGAAGGCATATGAAAATATAATGATCATGTCTGTTCATTGTTTGGTGACAGTAACTACTAGTTGCATTCTTAGCACCACTCTAGACTAGCAGGACGTAGACTTTGACATCAAGGTTACAATCTGGTAAAAGAGGTTAAACTTGCAACTCAACAAGCACCATGATGTTGCTATACTGAATTATATGGTATTTGGGACACAAGGCAGTGATTAAAATTTAATAGTTTTTTCTCTTCTTAAAAAATATTTATTTATGTATATGAATACTTTGTCTGCATGTACATCTCACACCAAAAGACAGGATCAGATGGTTGTCATGTGGGTGCTGGGAATTAAACTTAGGATGTTTGGAAGAGCAGTGAGTGCTCTTAACCACTGAGCCATCTCTCCAGCTGCCAATATTTAATAGTTTTAACCAGAAAAAAATAGTTGAATGGTAGAAAAACTATTTCAGGTGAACCCAAAGATAGTGGAAACAAAAAGAGGAAAGATACTTGGATGAAGGTTTGCCAAGTATCAGGACACACACACACACACACACACACACACCAAAAACACCTAACAACAAAAAACTTCTAGAAAAAAATACTTTAGCATACTAAGCCACTTGAATCTATCAATTTCCCATGACCCCAGTGCCATGTGACACCATTGCTGATAGTTTCATGTTTAGTCTTGGCATCAGACATGACAAGGTTACACTACCATCACATAATGATGGTGTCATTGGATCTAAATTTCACAGATTTAGCCATGTTCTATAACAAGTGTGCACTAGTAATTACCAGGGTGGGCACCATACAGCTTCAGATTTGAGTAAGACCTGAGTTTTACACCTCAATAGAACTAAGAAACACTACAAACTCCTATTTTTTTCTTACATAGATTCGTAATAACCACAAGAATAAAATATGGCAAAAAAAATCTGTTTTTATTTTTATTTGAGTTTTTCAAATGAGTTAGACTACACTACTTAAAAAAATTTTTTGAGCAATTTTTTTTTCTTTTTTTTTAGCATTTATGGAACTAACAATGTTCTGCTCAGCAGGCATTGAGGGATACCTAACAAGGTCAGGAAGTGTTGAATCAGGAAAAGCCTTCTATACTATAACAAGAAGCTGTGTGACCTGTAAGATCATTGCAAGGAACTAAGGTCTTCAGATTTGCATTTCCAGAAACAAGGCAGGGATCAGGATGCTGTAGCACTGGTTAAAGGTACCTTTGCTATAAAGAAAATAGATTTTCTGAACTTAATGATCTATATCAGATGTAGAAAGAAAGTACACATAGAAAGACCTCAGGGAAAAGGATCCACTGAGGAGAGAGAGGCAGAATGTGGGGCAGTATTACAAAGATCTGTGATACAGGACTTAAAGGGGTCTGGACTCAGGTAGGTAACAGACAGTGGAAGTCTTGAGATCATCACAAAGAACAAAAAGGGTGAAAGTAAGAATATGAACAGATAGCAATGAGATGTAATATTTAATGGTGGGAGGAGAAAACATAGTCAGAGAAGGAGGAAAGCTAGAATGATACTTAAGGAATTCAAATGAGAATATCTAAAAAGACAAAACTTGGGCTGTCATTTGTATGGCTTTTCTCACAGGAAGTTAGGAGATAATTTTAGCCAAGAGCAATTAAAATTTTAAATAAGTAGAGAATGTGGTTTCTAAGTTTGCTATCAGAGCACAACATATGGAGGAAATTTTGAAAAAAAATGGATATCTAAAAATAATTCATAATGTTTCTGTCTGCTTACTATCACTTATTAACGTGTTATAACATGGGACACTATGTTCTAGAGTCTCAATTGATATGAACCAAACAGATATGTTTTTGTTGTTTGTTTGTTAGTTTGTTTGTTTGTTTTGAGACAGGGATCCACTGTGTAACATCTCTGGTTACTCTGGGACTTGCTTTGTAGAACAGGTTGACCTTGAACTCACAGAGATCTGCCTGCCTCTCCCAAGTACTGGGATTAAAGTCGTGCACCACCACACCCAGCAACAAGCATGTTTTTAAAAGTTCTAGCACTCATTTCAATTCCATTTTCTAGTTTACTTAAATTTATTTTCTACTAATTGAAATGCATTTAAAGCTTTTATTGTTTTTATTGATGAGAGCAATAATAAGTTATTGAGTGTCAGCTTCTGACTTGGACAATACCAAACAATTATCAAAAAAAAAAAATTTACCAAAAGTTATTTATGTGTGTGTGCCCTTAAAATTGGGGCCTATGCTGTTAAGTATTTAAGAAAATGAGATGAAATCACATGTGAAAATATAATTTTCCAGGAGTGATAGAAAGCAGACAGCTAATGAATCTTCACTATAATCACAATTAATGAGTAAATATTTGACTGTTTTTTTATGTCTCCTTTTTAGCAATTATTATACAAAGACAAGGCCCAAAGAAAGAGCTCTTCACTTAGAAACGCGAGAAGTATATTCTGTTGATCCATACAACCCAGCAAGCTGATCGCGTGACAAATTGGTATATAATGAAATTGAAATGCAGTTACTTTTACATAGGTCAAGATTTGCTTTAATATCTTCTCATAGCCTTTTTAAAGCACGGTCTTAAGTAAATATTGTCCTATTTCAGTCTTTACATCCATGTACAATATTATTAGCTTATCTACTTCATATTCCAACTGATGATCTTAGTTAAATAAAAAGCATTTGTCTATTCAGTAAATAGGTAACAAATGTAATTAATAAAATGATAAAGAATAATGTAAAATTATTAGAAATGTAATGAAGTCAGATATGGAGGTACACGCCTATAATTCTAGCCCTTAGGAAGTGGAAGAAAGATCAGGAATGAAGGCTGACATTTGAATTTAGCTACATATCGAATCAGAGGGCAGAGTGGGCTATATGAGGCTCTGCCTCCAAACAACAAAACAAGCAATCAAAAACAAAACCAAAAATAATGAGAGAAAATGAATAAGAATAAATAATATTAAAGAGAAATAAGCACAGAAAAGAGAATAGAGAGAAGAAAGTGATTACATTGAAAGTATTCACCGTGAAAATGGCATTCACACAAAGACTGGAGGAAACTAGAGAGCCAGCCACGTAAACTGCATGGAAGAGGATTCAAGGAATATACAAACAATGGCTAGTTCACAGGCTAAGAGGTCTTCCTAAGAGGCATAGCAAGGTGGTTTGTGTAGCCTAGAGTGAATTTACTAAAGAGAGAAAACGTGCTCAGAGTGTTATGTGGAATCCAGCCAGATGATTAGACAGGGTGGGCTAGGTCACTGTAGTAAGTTTTTGAGATGGGTGGTGCCACCTGAGTTTTAAGCAGATGACATCATCACCTTAACTGCTGTGTTTAGAAGAGGCAATAGGAAGCTAAGCATAGGAGAAAGGAATTAGCAAGGAGGCTGATACAACAATCCAGGCAAGAAACAACAGCCTGGCAAGAAGAGGTCATATTTTACATGCATTTTAAAGACAACAACAAGGGAGAATAAATGATTTAAAGGATAAAGAAAGATACCAATAATGATGCTAGGGAATTGGGACCTCAGCTACTGGAAGGATAAAGTTGCTATTAACATAACACAGAATGTGCTAAGTACACTGAGAGGAATCAGTTCTGATTTGGAGGTGTTCAATGTGAGACAATAAATAATCAAGTAAAATTACCAAGAAGAGAGCTGACAAATTCGCTTTACAAGCACCATAGATGATACTGAACACAAACGCATACATACGTAAGAGACTGGATCAGATTATCATGAGGGTTTAAGAAGCCATTGAAGAAAAAAAAGTCCAAGTGTTGAGGCTTACAGCTTCTAATATGAGGAGCTATAAAATGAGGAAGACTATCAAAAGATCAGCCTCTGATGTAGAGCCCCTGGTGTGGTGTGTTGGGTTCAGGTACAGGGAGCTTAGAGAGGAAAAGAACAGTTTTGGAGTTGTTGTTGATGGCTTAAAAATGACAAGCAACAAAAATTGGATTCAGCAGCACAAAATTTGTTGATAAAACTGACAAAATGGTTTTAATAGAAATAATTTGGATCAATCTTACGAGAAAATGAAAGAGCAGAAATCAAAGCACTAAGAGGTATGCTATCTCTAGGAGTTTTTCAATAGTGGTCTGAAAAATCATAGGAAAAATAAAGACTTTTGAATAATTAATATATGCAACTATGCCACAGTTTCTATAAGATGATGGAGATGACCTAGGAGAAAGGGAACAAAATAAAAGCAAGTGAGTAAAAAGATCTTGGTGGAGGAGTTTCTCAGACAGGAATAAATACTTAGTCACAAAATGGAAGCTTGAACAAACAGGACCCAGGAAGATGCTCCCCTTCTCCCTTAATGGTGCAGCTTTCAACTTTTTCCAAGTCAACTTTTGACTAGGAAGCAAACTAGGAAGATGAGAATGAGACTGGGGAAGATCCTAGAAATTAAGAGAAAAAAATCAAATATTAAAGTGGGCTGGAGGTAGAAGACTGAATGATAAAAAGCCCAGAAAGGTGGGCAGGCAGGCACTGCTTGTAACCCATCCAAGGTCACCCCCCAAAATATGAAAATGAACACTAGAAGGTTTATTTTGATGAGAGTCTTAATCAGATTTCACTGCCATTTTGGAAGATATCTATTGATAGCTCAAAAATGACAAATAATAAAAACTGACCATTGGATTTTAGCAGCACAAAATTTGTTGATGAAATTAACAAGAATGTTTTTTGTTGAACTAATGGAGAATGATGTAAGATTCCAGATGGAGAAACTAAAGCTAAGATTATTTTCTTGGCCAAAGAATTTAGGACCAGGATATAGAAAAATGAATGGTTCAGAGGTTAAGAGCACATATTGCTCTTGCAGAGGTTTAATTCCCAGAACCCACATAGTGGCTCACAACCATCTGCAAGTCCAGTTCCAAAGGGTCTGATGTCTTCTGTTGACTTCTGTGAGCTTTTGCATACATGTGGTACACATACATACTCAGGCACACATACATATGCGTAACTCCTTTAAAAATAACTTATGGTCAGTTGTGACTTTAAACTGACTCCTATGTATTTGACAGATACCTGACCCTCTGTCCTCTTAGATTTATTTTAGTAGGACAAATCATACGGTAAGGATAAGTGTCATAAGCAAAGTACAGAGAAGCTACTGTAGAATTCGAAGAGGAAAATGTTACTTGTTCCTGAGGAGTCTTTGCAAAGGAACAGAAGAGAAAGGGAACTTTCAAGCGACCCCACACTCAAAGCAAGGGACCAAAGAAAAGCGATTAAATTTTTGTGGATAGACACTGACTTTTATTTTATTTGTATTTATCAGCATAAAATACAGTTATGTTTTCTGGTTCATATTATCTGCAGTACTTCCTAATAGAATAATACCATCTAATTTATTAATGGTTCTAATTGTCAAATAGAGAGACTGTTGATGCTCTAGTCCTGTTACTTACATATAAGTTACACTGACCATATTGTTGCCTACACAGAATTTATTTATCTCAGTGTGTCTCATGGCTTGGAATTGCATTGAACATTAATAAGAAAGAAAGCATTTGAGAATCAGTAAGTCTCTGAGTGGCTGCAGCATCAGTGAACTAACTTCAGAAGCTGTAATTTTTTACATGTAATTTATTTTTAAGCAGAGCAGATCAGAGACGGTTTGTTTGATGTTAAAGTTGGGTTCATAGCCATGGTACAGTGAGGCTTTCTGTATGAAGCCTTGTTTATGATCTGACTGAGGCCAGCCTGTGGGTATGGAGGTATACATGATACTGCAAG